AATTAAAGAATGGTTTGGTGGGGATGAACTTTTTATTTCAAATTAATGCTTGTCTATTAAAAGTTGGACAGAAGTAATAACTGGGGAAAAATATATTTTATTGAATAAAAATACAATCCTAATTTCTCCTTGTTATTTTGGGGTTTGTCCTGTTAAAGTGACTTTTTCTCCCCTTATGCTGACTGGCTTCTACTTATAGAGGCACTTTTTCTCCCTGTATGCTGACTTATTTCCTCTTTTTTTATTAAACTTTAATATTTATGTCTATTAGTCCAATTGTCTAGAATTCCATAAACCTTTTTATGTATTAATTTTTTTGTTTTATACGAAGAGTCAATACATGTTTGGTTTACTTTAAGGCTCATGTTATTTCTGGTCTGTTCCGAAAGTAAAACATTCTTCTTCTGGTGCCCATTCGATCGAATATTGGCGATCATTCTGGCTATGATTATTTAATTAACTGATGGTTTAAATAGATCAGTTGTTGTGGAGAACCATTTCCACAGGTTTTTCAACCATGATATTCTTCTTCTCCTAATTCCTCGCTTTCCGAATACTTTGCCTTGAAGAATTAATTTCAGTAATCTGTATTTGGTACCGTCTTTCATTATGTGTCCGAGATATTCTAACTTTATCTTTTTAATCATATACCTACATCACTTCTCTTCCCTTCCCCTATCTTCATAGTAGTCTCGTTGGTTATCTTGTCCGTCCATGATATCCTTAGGATTCTTCTGTATAGCCACATCTCAAAGGTTTTCATTTTTTTGTCCATCGCTTCAGTGAGTGTCCAGGATTTAACTCCGTGGTATAATATCGAGAAGATATAACATCGTAGGATCCTTACTTTTATCTCCAGACTAAGGTTGTGGCTTTTAAAGAGTTTAGCCATGTTGAATACACTCCTAGCCTTCTCTACTCTACATATTACATGTTGTGAGTGATCCCATTGTTCGTTTACTATTGTTCCAAGATAGGTAAACTGTTTTACTCTGTCCACTGATGTATGCTTGATAAGCAGTTGGACGTCTCTAATTTTATTTTTGCTGATGACCATAAATTTAGTTTTTGATATGTAAACTTGTAGTCCAAATCTTTCACTTACTTCATTTACTAGTTGCTATAAACTGTAACTGTCTGCAAAAATAACGATGAAATTTTGTATTATACGCCGGTTTTTATCATCTATTTTTGCTTTTGTTAAAACATCCATCATTTTTCGGTGTTGAACTGTGTCGATAGCTTTTGGCAGTCCACAAAGCCGATGTAGATATCACAAGTCATATCTCTGCATCTTTGGAATAATACCTGTAGACTAAACAGTGCATCTCTAATACCTACGCCTTTCATGCATCCAAACTGTGTGTCTTGTATACTCTCTTCGCATAGCTTGTATATTCTGCGATGTATAATTTTAAGAAAAAGTTTTAGTGTATGGCTCATTAGACTTATTAGCCTATATTCTGTTTCTTTGGTAACGTAATAAATTCTGAAACTATCTAATGTTTTGGAATATTGCCTGTGTCATAGATATAATATTGAAGATTTTACATAATATTCTTAAATATTCATCATCAAGAAGTTTAAGAAATTCAGACAGTACTCCGTCTGGTCCTGGAGCTCCCTTCTTTTATTGGTATTATGGCTACTCTTATTTCTGCCACTAGTATAGGTCGTCCTGTTTCCGTAGGTATTGGGGACTGGTTCTCTCCCTCATTAAAAAATAAATTTCGTATGTAATTTTTAAAGGTATTATCAATACCCTCTTTGTCCACGATTTCCTCTCCGTTGTCATTAACGAATACACTTACTCTCCTGTTTTTACATTTGCCTGTAACATCTCTTACCTTTTTATGCACGTTGAAGTCGTCATATTTACTTTGTAGAATTTCGATTTCTTGGCATTTTTACTCCAGTTCTTTCTGTTTGGCTTCTCTGACCTTTCTCTGTATATCTCATTGTAATTATTTATACATATAGTTATTGTTCTTGTTTTTCCTTCTTTCTTCCATCAGCTGCATAATCTCTATCTTGTCTTATTCTTACCTTCTCCGTTCTTCATAAAATTGTCTTTAATGTCATATATCGTTTTATTAAGGGATTATATGTCATGTTTTTTAGTTTTCCGCGTCTTCTTTAACTTGGTTCTATACACGCCCACTAGAGGATTGTGGTCAGATTGAATATCAGCACCTACGTAGGTTTCAACACTGTTGAAACTATTTCGATCTTTTGCCAACAAGTGTATAGTCTATATTTGTTTTCTTATAATAACGTCTTCTCCGTTGTCTCTAGCTGATTTCCACGTATACAGGCGTCTAGGTGATAGTTTGTAAAATGTGTTTAGCACGATTAAGTCATGTTCAGCTGCAAAAGAAAAACATTCTTAGCCGAGGAGTAGTCCGTGGTCAAAAGAACTCTCGAATTACTCCGCTGCCTGACATACCCCTGTGTCTCCCCTTCTTGCTAGTGGCTTAAAGTGTGGGGTGAAAATATTTACTATCTTTAATAAAAACTAACCACAATTTCAGTTAAAAATGCGTTTATTTTGACGTTTCTATTTACACTTCGGAAATAATAAGTCCTCCGCTCCAAAGTCCATTATATCTGATTATTGCTTCATCGGCGTTTTTCTCGGGGACCACAGTCAAGCCTGCTCCCTGCCAAAAGCCCTAGGTAGCTCTCACCATAAATACAGTCCATTTCTTGGTGTATTCGTTAGCACAGTTCAGCCACAGGATCCCTGCGTTAATGGTGGTTTTATGGAACTGTAGAAGTAGATTCTGACTTGCGCTATCAGCCTCACCTACTGCTTTTTCCAGTTTGTTGAAGATTCTGACCCTGTTGAATCCTTCTTAAGCCTGATCTAGTTGAGTATAAGGATGACGTCTGCGAAATATCGTCATTTTAAACATTAATATAAACAGTCCGCTCGTTAATGTTCCTAGATTTTTAGCGACTCTCCGCTTAAGGTTTCTGTTAATTCTCCTTGAATACTTCTGTTAAATCTCTATTGGTATTCTCTCGAGGACTCTCTATACCCTCGGGTTTTACCAGTTCCGCTTCATTTTTTTTTTTTTAATTTTCATTGTACCACATTCCAGCAGCTATTTTTCCTGTTTCCGGATCTGCTTCTGAGGTCCGGATAGGTGTTTGGTTTAGAGGGATATCCTCTCCGAAACACCTGGTTCAATATTTAGGCATCGGCGCCGCCAGGATTATTTTCAGGGGGTTGCAACTACGTCTACACATACTATTAACCAATATAGAACTATTCATGTATAACTATGTACTTTCTATCCCAACAGGGGATTTTACCCGCTGCCGGCACCCACGCATTTGGGGCAGAAATAGTTCCAATCATTCCTGTTGTATTTTTATTTATGCTTCCGTGCTAGGGTTGTAACCCCCAGAGTTCACTAGTGACCTCTTTTGGCCATTAAGATACTTTTTAAATTGGGGGAAAATACAAAAACAATAATGAAACTATTTATTTTAATAAAATATATTAACACTCTGTTCCACTGTTAAAAATACAATAACCGAAAAATAATAACAATATTTCTTGTTTTTGGTGTGCATAAAAAGTACCTATATTATTTTGTCCTTCGATATGAAAAAAAATTACTTCAAAGTTGTTTGTTGAAATTAGTCATAAATACATCATTATCAATAATGTAATTGTTTACAAGATTGTCACTTTTTGTGTTTTTACATTTATAATAAAATATATCTGAACATGGTTCGCCGTATCATAAACTCTCTGTGATATTCTTCGAAGCTATTTTATATAGCACATATTTGAATTTATAAGAGAACACCGATTAAGATGGCGTATTATATATTACTCCTCTTGTATACTAGATCGAGCCACCAGTAACTATGACAATAATGTTGACATAATTGTGCTTTCGTTTGTCGGGATTTAAGGAATTATGAAATAATAAATAATATAATTTAGCGTTATCTTAAAAATTCCTTATTATAAGTTCGTGTGTTAGGAGTTATTTTGCCGTTTTGTTTTTTTATGAAATATAATAAATAATGTTATTTTTTTGGTGACTTGTAAATACCTATTTAGAGCACTCATCAAGGTTGTTTACGTTACTCACAACTTTCTGACAACACAAAATTACACATCATAACTCTGGAAATAATACCAACAATTTTCAATTGCCATTTGCTGTCCTTAAATGGAGTACTGTTTTTTCAATATTTAATGCAAATTTTTGTTTTTTGAGTAACGCATAGTTTCTATAAATTTTTTTTTATCCAAAATATGATCTGTGTAAGACAAAATTATTAAATTATTGTTAGGAAATTTCTGAACAGTTGGTTGTTCTGCAATTGATGATGTGCATGTTCCAACTTTATAGAAACTAATTTAACTACTTAATTGTCTGTGATATCAATAATTCATCTAATAATTATTATACTCTAAGTATTATACTCGAGGAGAGCTATTATAAATGCACAGTTTTTGTCTTCTACTATAAATTGGTCATCATTATCTTTCAGAGTTGTTTGATTTATGAGAGTTCACAGGTCTAGTTCGACAAATATAGCTGAAAGTGTGAAAACGCGTGACGATCATGATGCGCCTTCGTCAAACGACGGACCTCGCACTCGCATTGACGGTCGAGACTGTTTGTATGTGCGTTCTCACTTCATTATTAGCGCAGGCAATTGAAATTTCACACTTTCAGCTATATTTGGTGAACTATATGTGATATTGTTCTGAAGCCATTTTAAATTAATTACTATTTAACTGGGAATAAGCACAATTAAAGGTTAAAGTACGTTTATTGACATTTCAATTTCCACTTCGGATATCATTCTCAAAATACAAACAGTAAATTAAACAAATTTTGTTTTTTTGTTACTTAGTAATAAATTCTTCTAATAATTTAATTTTATCTGACTCATTTATATTGACAATTCAGACATACATTATGCATTTTAAAGTAGACTACTTTAAAATGATATTGTCAATATTGTTGAGTTGCGCTCCCGGAACGACTTTACTTATAAGATAGTTCATTCGATTACATGAAATCAACTTTAACTTGAGAATATCCGTCAGAAAAAATCATAGCATGTAATTCGTCTTTAAAAAGACAAACACATGCCATGATGACAGTAAAATTCTCCTATTAGTGATTCCATAGTAAATTATGAGGGAAAACCAGGAAAAAAACCTCAAAATACTATCCCGACATGGGATTGTTCCACATAATTGTGGCTTATTCCCAGTTAAATAGTAATTAACTATATGTGATGTTATTTCTGTATGTTTTCTCCCGATTTTGTGATTTGTTTGTGTCTAAGAGACACAAATGAATAATACTTTTGGTGTATGAGGTTAGTGTTAGAGAGTATATATTATAAATGGTGTTCAAGTATGGCTAATGAATAATGCATTAACACCTGTGACATATAGAAGACCAACTAGTATTACAAGTTGGTGTCAGATGTGTGGTATGATTAATATATGTGATGTCTAGTAGGCCAGTCTATATTACAAATTGGCGCCAGTGTTCGATTTTTCTGTTTTATTTTATTCTAATTTATATTAATTCTACTTTATTTTATTATATTTTCTTTTATTATATTTTAATCTATTTTGATCTGACATTAAGCACCCTCTCAATCAAAATACTCTCAAAATTGTAATTAAAATCCTGAGGCTCAGGACTTGATACTTAGTAATGTATGTATCCAAGAAATATGGAGAACCAACAAAATTGATGGATGAAGGCTAGCTAAAAGGATGAATTGTGATGTTCTATTACTATTAAGTGTAGGAAGCAGAAGAATCTCATGGTTGCGTAACTTGAGGGAATGGTACGGATGCACATCAATCCAACTATTCAGAGCGGCAGCATCTAAGATCAGAATAGCCATGATGATTGCCAACCTTCATCGCGGAGATGGCACGTAAAGAAGAAGAATATTGCTTTCTTTATCTTTAGATATAAGAATCTTTAATCCAGCATCTTACACATATTTGCTTTCCAAATTTCCAATCACCAAATGTTAATTTAAAACATATAGAGCGTTATTATTTAATTTTTCAGTTCATCACCGATGAATCAGATATGTGTATTGATCTTTCCCTACCTACAATCAAAACTTTTATCTAACTTATATCCATCCATATCAACACCTCCTCTACAATTTTCCAACAAACCTTCATTGTAAATTACACTTTAATTCCAACATATTGATGGTTGCTACTGTTGTAAGTAATAAACTTTTAACATATTTAATTATATGCAATGTTGGCTATAGTCACATTTAGACACAGACTTCAAGTTATATTGGCTGCTTAGTTCAGACTTCCGCCATAAGGCGTCATTTTGATCAGCTGCTATTAATATGTGCTCATAGACACTTCGTCTAAGGTCCAAACAACCCCAGTGTTGGAGTCCTCCGTTGCCATGAAGTAAATTCCGTCTATAACTGAAACATCCTAGTTTATTATCAGCCAAAATGTAAATAAAAATTATTTTTCTATATTAGAAGGGTTTTTACTCAGATATTTAGTGGCTTCAAACATGTACACCTAGTAAGTATGAAACGAAATTTTGTTATAATCGTAGTCAAAATTTAACTTTCACGTTAGTTTTAATTAAAGTGGCAATACTTATTTTAGAAAAGCACTGATGATGGAATAATCATTCCGTGATGTAGCTCGACAGAGTTTTTATAAGATTATACATTTTATAAAGGATTTTTTAAATTAAATTTTAAACTACGTAATGTTAATCGGCATGTAATGGATACCATCAACATTGAATGATGATGTACAATACTGAAACGTCGCGGATGAGTGAGGATATTTTAACAAATGATTTTATTTTTTTAATTACTTAAAACATATGCAGCTGTTTTTCGTATACTTTACAACTTCCAACTCGGTAGAAAATGAAGAATTTTTTGATAATTTACTTTCCTGATAATCGAAGGACAAAATAAATGTGTGTAAAGTATTCTTATTTTACGTAAAAAATGTGATCTTTACACACTGGTGATATATACTAAGGAATCAGTTGCCCTTGTGGTATATACCTTTGTGTAGTTTGTTTCGCCATTTGTTTCTTGATTCTATATTTGTTTTCAGAAATTCTCCTAAAAATATATTTCATAATTCGGACACTAGGATCCGAATTGTTCATCACAATTATCAATTGGTTTAAAGCTATAGCCTCCTCGCCCGTCTAAATGTAATACGTATTCGTGATGCTGCCAAAGTGATTTTCTATGAGATACTGTAAGTAATGTGATTCCAACATCTCTACAATATTTATACATACTGCCCTCTACGTCGACAGATACTGCGCTCGTGCATTCGTCCAAAATGGCGAATTGAGGTTGGTGGTAGAATAATCTGAAAAGAAAAATATATTAGTAAGTCAAACATTCACTAATTTATTTATATTCTATTATTTCTTAATAATTAAATAATAGAGATAATGATTAATCCATTTTGAAGCATCTACTGCAAAGTATATAGTCTAAAGTATAAAAATACTAATTTAAGGAGGCCATGAAATCTTATATCCTTATTTCGACTGCTCGGTAGTAGAATAGTCACCATGCTGAATGACGTGACATTTACGGTTTAATATTGTCAATGCTTAGAGAAACTTTTCCATGACCTTAGAACAATACAAGCACCCACCATTGAAGAAAATTCAGGTCCCGAAATCCAACCATAAGAAATAACGGCAGCAGTCAGACAAATGAAGGATGGAAAGGCACTGGGACTTGATGAAATTCCTGCAGAACTGTTGAAGCTATTAGATGCAGAACAAATACAAATAATAACTGAAATATTTAATGAAATATACAAGGCAGGAAAAATACCAGTAGAGTGGCTCAAATCGGAGTTCGTACCATTGCCCTAAAAACCAGGAGCAAAAGTTTGTGAAGATTATAGGACCATAAGCCTAATGGGCCATCTGCTGAAGCTGTTAAAAGTCATCCACAAAAGAATTAACGGGAAATGGGAGGAACAAATTGCACCCTATCAATTTGGATTTGTGAACGCCGTTGGTACGAGCGAAGCTTTATTTAGCGTGCAGGTATTGTTTCTGAAATGTAGAGATGTCAGTTGTAATGTTTTTGCATGCCTGATTGACTACAAGAAGGTTTTCGATAGAGTCAGGCATGAACAAATGATGGAAGTGCTGAAGAGGACAGATATTGACGGAAAATATTTAAAAATAATAGCTAATCTGTATTGGAATCAGTAAGCGGTGCTCCGAATAGATGGAGAATATACAGATCAGGTCAAAATCTTAAAGGGAGTGGGACAGGGGTGCATAATTTCACCACTGATATTCAATCTGTACTCGGAGCACATTTTTGAAGAGGCTCTAAAAGATCTCGATGAAGACATCTCAATAAATAGAGTCAAGCTCAATACCCTGCGGTACGCAGATGATACAATAGTGTTTTCCAATACCTTAGAAGAGACTGCAAAACATAATGAACAAAATAACGGAAACAAGTAGAACATATGGACTGGATATAAACACCAGCAAAACCAAGCTAATGATAATCAGCAAGGAAAACCTAACTGGAGTAAATCTGTATGTGAACCAAATGAAAATTGAACGTGTCTCACAATACACCTACTTGGGAACTAATCAACAAGTCGTGGGACAATATCCAAGAGATTAAATGTCGCATCTAAAAAGCAAAAAGTGCATTCTTGACTATGAGCTCTGTGTTCAAGAGCCCTGAACTCACCCTAAAAACAAAAATAAGAATCCTTAAATGTTACGTATACTCAGTGCTTCTGTACGGAGTAGAAACGTGGACATTGAAGGAGGAAACTCTATCAAAACTTCAGGCTTTTGAGCTATTGTTATACAGAAGGATCCTGAAGAAACTATGGACAAAATCACCAATGAAGAAGTTTTGCGGAGGATGAACACAACCGCGGGTTTGGTAAACATCGTGAAGAACCGTAAGCTGCAATACTTGGGACATATAATGAGAAATCAAGGCAGATACGAGTTACTTCAATGCATTTTGAAAGGTAAAATTGAAGGAAAAAGAGCCTCAGGACGAAGAGGAATATCCTGGCTTGCTAACCTGAGAGCATGGTATAGAAAGACTTCAACACAGCTATTTCGTATAGCAACCAACAAAGTCATCATAGCCAGAATAATCGCCAACGTTCGGAACGGACAGGCACCCTAAGAAGAAGAGTGTAAAGTTTAGATGCGTAGGGCCTTCTCAGTAACCGACGCGCCGTTGCAACCTCGCCTGACCCCTCCAAAACGTGAGCTAGGGCTATTCCTTAGAAGACGGAAGGGGCCACAGAAGTCAGTCCTAGGAGGTAAAACTCTCAACGTCGGAAGCATGACAGGTAAAGGAAGAGAGCTCGCCGATTTCATGTAGAGGAGAAGAATTGCTGTACTTTGTGTGCAGGCAACTCGTTGGAAAGGCAATAAGTCGAGAGATCTTGGAAATGAATGCAAGTTAATAGTAGTTCGAACAGTCACTACAGAAATGGAGTAAGTATTATTTTAAACAACGAATGGAAGGAACATATTGTAAGGGTAACCAGAAGAAGTGATAGAATGATGAGTGCCCATCTGAATAAAGATAATAGCAACGTGAACATCATATGTAGATACACCTCACAGGTAAGGCGTGAAGAACAGGAAAAGGAAGAATTTTGGAGGGCCCCTGACAGCGAGATGCTCGAGATTCCTGTAGATAAAAAGTGTTTTATTAAAGGTGATTTGAATGAACATATTGGTAGAGAAAGAGTGGGAATAGAAAGAGTTCATGGAGGTTAAGGGATGGGAATAAGAAATGATGAAGGAAATCGTGTGATTCACTTTGCAGTGCCACGAGACTTGGCTGTCATTAATACGTTCTTTATGAATACTAAAGAGCAGTATGCTACCTACAGTAGGGGAGAAGAAAAGTCAGACAGCTTTTGTGCTGTGTGGAAGAAGTCAGCTAAAAGAGGTTATCAACTTCAAAGTCATAAAGGGTGAGCGTGTGGCTAGTCAACACCGACCGGTGATAGTAAATACGCAGATAAAGGTGCGGCGGAAAGAAAAGCAAGTAGGACACCAGAAAGGAAAGTGGTGGAAGTCAAAGGATAATGGTTTGGCAATAGTCTCTAACAGTAGAGTGAGGAAAAATATACGGTACATGACTGGTGGGAAGCCCGTTTTGGTACGAGTGGGAGAGAAAAAGCATCTGGTAAAGAGACTCCGGGAGACAAAGCAACTTATTGGTGAATCGATGAAGTACAACAAAAGGTAGAAAGAGAAGAAAGAGGCTAAAAAGAGGTATGACATGTCATATATAAGGTAGCAAAGAGGGAAGCAAAGCGCGGTGTAGCTACTGCTAAGTAGAGATGTGTAGTTCACCATCGAAATAGTTCTAATGAACGATTCTTTCAACTGAACTAATTGAACTAGTTCATTAATTTTCATAGAACTAGTTCACTGCGAACGATTTGCATTATAAATTATGTCTCAACTTCTAAAGAAGAAAATAATGAATGAATAAATTAGAACATATATTTATTATTTTGTGAATGGATGGACTAACTAGTTAAAAAAAAATGCCGATTAGCTTCAGACAACAGATTCATAATTCTTATGAATGTGACAATAACATTAAGTCTTATCTTAATGTCATAATGGTTCGGATCTTATGCCCATGTATTGGCTTGGATGTTGCCATGCTGTGTTGTTTCTTGTATTGTAATTTTAAAATAAAAATTTTAGTTGTGGTTAAAATAATTGAGGAATTTACATAAAATATAATTTTATGTAAAAGTGAGAATGAAAATGTGTTATTTAATGTTCCTAGAAAATTCACTGATTTTTTTTTGTAAAGGTTCTTTTAGAAATAACCTAATTATAAATACCTATGAGTTTAAATATACGTAAATATAAAAATAAATCATACTTGAACCATATTTATATTTAAAACGGTTAATAAAAAACAAATTTTAATAATTTTTTGCAAATTAAAACTAACTAATCATATAATAATTTAAACTATTTAAACCTAAACATACGATCGAAAGAAATAGTTCCGAACTACTTGTACGGTAGTGAACTAAATGAACTAGTGAAAGACTGAAATAAAACGGGCGGCTGGCGCCGAGCTTGTGTGATGATTGAGACGAGACATCTGGCAACCAGTTCTGTTAGGGTTGGATTTCGATGTCGAAAACGAACCTGGATTTCAGACAATAATGATCAGACAATCGAAATAAGAGTTAGGATAAAAAAAGCAAGAAATGCGTTTGTTTGTAAAAATGAAAACAATTCTCTGCAAAAAAGATCTTAGATTAGAACTGAGAGTAAGAGCACTGAGATGCTACGTGTTTTCGATATTGCAATATGGACTTGAAAGCTGGACATTAAAGCAATAACACATAAATAAGTTACAGTCCTTTGAAATGTGGTGTTACAGGAGGATGCTTAGAATAGCATGGACAAGGAAGAAAACTAACACGGAAGTATTGCGAGAAATGGGCAAAGAATGCGAAATAATTAACACAATAAAAATAAGAAAAGTTACAATATCTGGGACACTTAATGAGGGGACAGCGATATGAACTGCTAAGGCTGATAATACAGGAAAAGATAAGAGGAGGAAGGAGTGTAGGAAGAAGAAGGGTGCCATGGTTAAAGAATTTAAGGGACTGATTTAAATGCAGTTCTATAGAACTCTTCAGAGCAGCAGTAAATAAAGTAAAGATAGTGATGATGATATTCAACCTCCGATTGGGAGACGGCACTTAAAGAAGAAGAAGTGCTGAAAAACAAGAGTGAGGCATATTAGTCAACGGAGTGCATCTAAATAACATTAGGTATGTTGGCCACGCAGTAGTTTGTAGTAGTAAATAATGATACCACTTTATAATTCGTAACCAAAATCCTAACAATAAATAGTGTAAAAAATCGAACGAATTAATGTTTAATTGTTATTACAAATACATACCTGGCCATAGCTATCCTTTGCTTCTCTCCACCACTCAAAACATCCAACCAATCCGCTACAGCATCTAGACCACCCTCTCTTTCCAAAATGTATCCGAGTTGCACCCTTTGCAGATACTCTTCCAACTTGGCATCTGTAGTTCCCCTTCGAGCTGCTTCTGCACCAGAATGTGGATATGTCAGTTGATCCCTAAGGCATCCTAAGGTCATGTAGGGTCTCTGTGGGATATAGAATAATTTACCCCTAGGTGGTTTCGTGAGCTCACCACCGAACAGAGGCCAAAGCTCTCCTAAAATTCTAAACAAGGAAGATTTTCCGGCTCCATTGGGACCACATACCAACACATTCATGCCGGAGTTAATTTCAAAAGTAATTTCGTTAATTAGAACATCTCCATTGGGGGTTATTAAAGGAACTTTGTGAAATTTAATGATGTTATTTCTAAAAACTAATTTTCCGCCATTTATCTGTAACGATTCTGATCCGGAAACCATTGTTCGTTGATATTTACCAGAGTTAAGTTCACTTAACACTGTCTTTAATTGTGTAACTCTAGCTGTAAAGCCTGCTAGGCGGGTTAGGTCCCTTCCTGCTAGTACCAATCGTCCAATTGCTTCGGCTAGCTTTACTAACATCCTACCATACGTGTAATACAATCTTGATCTGAGGACAGAAAGTATATTAATTATTGCAAAATTCAGATAATAAGGATAATAATAATTCAGATAAATACATAAGAACGCCTGATAAAATAGAATAGAATAAATAAATTGTCAATAGAGAGAATGGTGTCAATTACAATTTGCAATGGTGGCTGTAACAACCTACACTTAATATAAAAGTAATATTAAAATATAATAATAATAATAACAGCATTTTTCTGCCAGAACGTAGACTGCATACTTCGAAGTCTCAAAGTAATCGAGAGATCAGATTTAGAATTAGAAAAATGTTTTATTGTCACTGAAAATTGTAAAATTTTCAGTCACAAAGCTTACAAAAAGTAAGAACATAACAATAACAATTACAATTTACTGAAATTACATAAATCATCAATATCACAAAATAATAAAACAAACAATCCATTGAAAAATTGAAATAAATTGCAAATTGCATAATAATAAGAACGTTGATTTACTTCGAAACAGCTCTTATTGCATAGCAGGCTGAGGCTAGTTTCATTCAGGATTGCTGTCTATAAAAATACCAAAAAATTTTACAGAATACCTGATACTGATCTGGCTGTTATTAATAAGCAAAGGTTGTAGAGCTCCTTTATAGGATAATGCTACTATCTTATCCATGTTAAAAGAGAGAAATAAAGAGAGGCCAGGTTTTTATTGTAAATAGTTCAAAAGTTATAGTTACATGAAGAGTTGCTTCAGGTGATACTGGTATTATCTTCTTCTTCATGTACCATGTCCTTTCAGAACGTTGGTTACCATCATAGCTATTTTAATTTTATCCACTGCCACCCTAAATAGCATGCTTGTATCTACACCACACCAGTCTCGCAAGTTCTTCAACCATGAGGTTCTTCTTCGTCCTGGACTGCGTTTGCCTGCTATTTTTCTTTGCATGATATTTTGTAGCAATCTATATTTGGGACCTCTCATTACATGTCCGAAATATTCCAGCTTTCTCTGCTTGATGCTTTTTATGATCTCAGTAGTCTTGCTGAGACGTTCTACTAATGTGGAGTTACGAATCTTCTCCACCCAGGAAACTTTTAAAATTCTTCTATAGCACCACATTTCGAAAGCCTCAAGGCGATTTAGATCGATTTTATTGACAGTCCAGGACTCGACAGCATAAAGTAAGACCGAGAACACGTAGCAGCGAAGTAGGCGGATCCTTAATGCCAATTTTAGGTCTCTGTTACATAACACCTTGGACATCCTTCTAAAAGCAGCTCTAGCCTGCTCTATTCTGGATCTAATTTCGCCGTGATTTTCTGAATTACAATTTAATTGCTGTCCAAGGTAGACGATTTTATCAACTTGCTCAAGTTTGGTATTATTTACATATATAGACGGTTTTATATTCTGTTGTTTACTTATTACGAGTATTTTGGTTTTCCTTATGTTAAGATCCAGACCTGCCTCCCTACAACTCTCAACGACACTATCCAGTAGTGTTTGCAGATCTTCTTGACTAGAAGCTAGGAGTACTGTATCGTCCGCATATCGCAAATTATTGATGACTTTGCCGTTCACAAGTATTCCTTCTCGTTTTTCAGAAAGTGCTTTTCTGAAAATTCTTTCGGAGTAAACGTTAAAAAGCAGGGGTGACAAGAGGCATCCCTGCCGTACTCCTCTTTTAATATTGAGTGCTTGTGATTCCACACCATCTACTAAAACTGATGTTGTTTGATTCCAATATAAATTTGCAATTATTCGAACATCTCTGCCGTCCAAGCCAATGTCTTTTAGAGCTTCGATCAATATAGAGTGCTTAACACGATCAAATGCCTTTTGAAAGTCAATAAAACAACAGTATATGTCTACAGATATATCACGACATCTTTGAGCAAGTACGTTCATTCCAAACAGTGCCTCTCTCGTTCCAAATCCGTTACGGAAACCAAACTGAGTGTCATCCAGGTATTCCTCACATTTATTGTAGATACCATGTATTACCTTCAGAAAAATTTTCAATAAGTGGTTTAACAAACTGATGGTTCTATAATCGGCACAGGTTTTTGCTGTTGTCTTCTTAGGTAGAGCTATAAACAGTGAGTTAGACCAACCATTAGGTAGTTGTCCGCTGGTATAAATGGTATTGAAAAACGAAGTTATAGCCTCTAAAACATTGCTATCCTTTATAAGCTTATATATTTCAGTTGGAATTTCATCAGGACCAGTCGCTCTGCCATCTTTTGATGATTGTATGGCCTTTATAACCTCACAGCGTGTTATTAGGGGTCCGTCGCAGTTAGTAATATCGGGAGGTGAACTACTCCTATCGTCTTCGAATAGGTTCGTGACGTAATTTTCCCATTCTTTAAGTTTGTCCTTTACTTCGAATATTACTTTACCATTTTCATCCTGTAGCAATGCATTTTGTTTCTTATTGAAGATACCAGCCGCTTCTTTTGGTATTATCAACAAAAAGAAAATTCCATCAATTTTTAAACTAGTGATGTCATTTATAAAGAAAAGGAAACAGAGGACCCCATACTGAACCTTGTGGTACTCTACGTACAATGCTTTTGTGACTAGAGTCAATATCATTTGCTCTAACCAGTTGTTTCCTATTCCCCAAGTAAGATTGGAACCAATTTAAAGAAATACCTTGAATTCCGTAGAAATTTAGTTTTTTATCAAGATGTGATTTATACAATCAAAAGCTTTGGTATAGTCACAAAAAACAATGGTAGTGTGAAGATTTTTGTTTAGTGCTTGGTAAAACTCATGTAATACAGAAAACATAACATTACTGGTACATTTATTAGATAAAAATCCGAACTGATTTTGTGATAAAATGTTGTTTTCAACGAGGAACGATATTTCTCGGGCTTTTCTAAATAATTTTGGATAGTATCGGTAGTAAGGCAATATGTCTATATTTGCATGCCTTAGATTTTTCATCGCCCTTATGAAGGGGAATAATAATGGCCGTCTTTAGGTACTGTGGAAATGTACCTTTTTCAAAAGGAAACATTAATTAGTGAGATCAGGACTTCCAACATATTTTTGGGAGATTTGAGAAAATTGTTATGAATAGTTCATCAGCAATACAGGAAGATTTGCTTTTGATACTATTGATTGTTTGGATCAGTTCAGATTGATCAGTTGGTCTTATAAATAATGAATACGAGACTTTTTTGAATTGGGGAGATAGGAAATGGGATCTAGTTGTGGCAAAATAGTTAATGATATATTTTTAGTCACAATAACGAAGTACGCATTTAGATTTTCAGAGTTTGGAAGCAAAAATGTTTTTGAGCTGTGCTAGTTTTATTTCGAAGATCATTTATTATGGACCAAGTTTCTCTTGCAACACTTTTAGAGCTTCCCAAGTGAGTTTGATAGGACGCTTTTTAGCTGTTTTGATAAGTTTTAGATAGGTTGCTCTGTACTTGGTGATATATTCAGTAACACACTGGTAAAGTTGGTTACAAATTTCTTTTATAAGTGGATACTTTTCATAGTCCGTCCAGGGTTTGCTTTGGCTTAATTGTAATTAAAGAAAATGTCTTACTGAAAATACAGACAAGCTTATCTAAAAAATCACTGAAATTATAGTCCATGTAGACAGAAGGAATGTGCTACCCAGAAGTCAAGCATAAATTTTGAAATTTACGAAAGTTCTGAGCGAAAAAAATCCTACCTAAACGTCGGATTTGCTGAGAGTGTTGCTGAACTTGGTATATACGACTTCATGATCAGATCTTCCTTAATAATTGTAGAGCAGACATCAAGAGGAGAGAAATCCGAGACAATATAATCAATTATGGTAGATGGTATCATAAGATATTATTACATGAAAACAAATAATCCATTCAGTCAATGAGCCATTTAAAAACTGTATAAAATAAGTCAAGACCTACTCAGGTTGATATTCGATAAGATCATAATTTAGTTTGCTCGATAAATTGTGTTAGGCTTAGTTTTAGAGAATCTGCAAAATTCAGAAATCTCTTAAATGAATAATTTATGTTGTTAGTTCTTTCAGCAATTCAAGGAAAAAATAGAGGGTAGGAGAAGCGTAGGAAGAAGACGCGTTTCCTGGTTGAAGAACCTGAGAGAGTGCTTTGGTTGCAGCTCAAGGCAATTGTTCAGAGCAGCTGCTTCAAAGATCAAAATAGCCATGATGATTGCCAACCTTCGTCACGGAAATGGTACTTAAAGAAGAAGAAGTTCTTTCAGTCAAATTTCGTGCAATTACCTTTGCATTTAATTGAGACGTTGGAGCAACAACAAGTGACCTTCCATTTGCATAAGAAACTGAAAGAACTAACGGTGAAGAGCAAAATTTACAAAGATCTAGCGAGGTTCTAGTAGAATTTTGAGTGACCCCTGTAGTTGGTCATTGTAAGTTCGCTGAAGGACTGTAAAAAGCCAACAAAGATTCCATTTCACTATTACCAATTATGTCCAAGTTGTTTGAGAAATTGATCTTGAAACGCCTCGAACCTATCATTAGCCAAAAACATCTCATCAATTTGACTTCAGAAGTAATCACTCGGTCATTGACATACTTATAGATGTCATTGAAACGAGAAACATTAAAAGTAGTTGAAACTAGCTACGAAAAAAGGTATAAGAACCTTTAAATTACATGACAATCATGGTTCATTGTAACAATATAATGACACGAGGTCGATATTATAATATTTCACATGAAGGGAACATTTCGCTCATCGAAAGGAGGAAGAGTTTGTTCCAGGGTTAGTGCCAGCCAACTTCAGTTGGAAAAGTGATTAGTGGAGTGATTCAGTGGAAAATATCTTAGTCTTAACTAATTTTATTTTAGGATGGAACAAAACGAATCGTTAATTATCTAAACTAGTTTTAATTAATTACGTCTTCAAGCCTAATTAAAAAAATATTTGCTCTTACCTTTCGTTTGTTCCAAGAAGTCTAAAACTGTGTCCACTGGTCATAAACGGCAACGAGACAACCCAAAATCCTACTACTCCGGCAAAATATTTAGCTACAATGTTGTCCACGACGCCCATTAAAACTCTAAACCTTAAGAACTTCCTTAAGTGATTTAAGAGTTTGTTGTAACTGGCCATTAGAGTTGCCTTTTCTCTAGAGTTGCCATTGTAGAAGGCTACTTCTTCTGAATGGGTTATTAGACGTGAATTGATGTGCCGGAATTCACCTTCCAATTTTTGTTCTCCCGCTGTTAATCTGAAAAATTATATGCAATTACAATACAATTCGATATAAACGCTATACAAAAATGATAACATTTCGTGTTATTGTTTTTCTTGGCTGCTCAAGAAGAAAAGCTCAAATATTCCAAGCGAATACAAGTAAACCCACTAAAAAAGAGAGAAATAATAGACAAGGTGGATCTGTGAAAAAACGACAAAATTTGGATTTGAGAGGTGGCATTCGTATTTTGCAGAAAAAGTTGTGTGATAACTAATTGAAGAAGCCGAGATAATATACACTCACCGGCAAAATTAACGGAACACCTTAAAAATGGGACATGTTAGATGACTCGAATTTCCTAAACCTGTTGTCCGATTTTAGTGATTTTTTTAGTATGTTATAGGTATATTATTGAAGAATATCAATGAAATAATATTGTTGCTAGACAGGTCAACGTCATTTTATACCGGGTGTAACAATCATACTGTGTTTTTTCCTTAAAGTTCGAAACACCCTGTGGAATATTCTAGCATATATAAAATATTGAAATTAAAGCTCAATTATAGTCTCAGGCTTTCTTAACATTTTCTTTTTTGATTCATTTGCTTGTGTTGGATAATAAAAAAGTTAGGTACGTTAACAACTAGCCATGTTTTTCATCAATAAATGCTCATTTTCTTCTTAGTTTCACCAGCATATGTAAAGGAACAACCATAAAATCTGAGTATTTTCTCTCTAGTCTATATACTGTTTAGATAATATCATAATACGAATGTTGGTGAAGTATTTTGAATTTATATTACAATGGTAGTACAATATAAAACCTGTTTAAGAAGAAATAAAACACAAAGATGTCAGACTCAACAAAATACGGATTTTAAATGCATTAACTTTATTGTACAGTTTGAACTTAAATTGTTTTTTTATGCATTTTTTTTGGCTTTAATAGCGTGTGTTTCCCCTACGAGCCCTTACAACTGCAGTTATTCGTCTTCTCATACTTCTGATAACGCTATCGATCAGTTGTTGGGCAGCCTCTCCCATTCCTCAATATTTTGCAATTGTGACTTCTTCTCTGTTTTGAATAGCAGGAACCCGTGCCCTAAGTTTTCTGCCTAGCATGTCCCACATATCCTCTATCGGGCTTAGGTCTGGGGAACAAGCTGGCCAATTCATCATTGTTATACCCACTTGTAATAAGAAATATCTTACACTTACACTCTTACACTATAAAATAAAATTTTCGCCAATATATGGTGAAAAAGGTACCACATGGTCTTGGAGAATATCTCTGATATACTTATCTGCTGTTAATGCTCCACCATCAATCACCACTAACTCTGTTATTGCTCCCAAACATATACCGCCCCACACCATAATTGAACCTCCACCAAAAGGTACGGTCGTAGTACCTAACTTTTTTATTATCAAACATAAGCAAATGAATCAAAAAAGAAAATGTTAAGAAAGCCTGAGGCTATAATTAAGTTTTAATTTCAATATTTTATATATGCTAAAATATTCCACAGGGTGTTCCGAACTTTAAGGAAAAAACACAGTAGGATTGTTATACCCGGTATAAAATGACATTGACCTGTCTAGCAACAATATTATTACATCGATATTCTTAAATAATATACCTATAACATACTAAAAAAATCACTAAAATCGGACAACAGGTTTAGGAAATTCGAGACATCTAACATGTCCCAATTTTAAGGTGTTCCGTTAATTTTGCCGGTGAGTGTATTTAAAACTTCGTCGAAAAGGTTGCATAGGAACAATTGGTCGTAATTCAACTTTTTTTCTTTTAAAATAAGCGTCTTATCACGTCTTTTCCAACCACCAGTTTCTGAATTTAATTTAATCTAACATTTAACGAGATATTCTATTTGTTTATAAGACAAAAAATTGTTTATAATATTAAAACATTCCTGGGCCCGCCCAAATAATCCGATTTCAATCCCACAAAGTACGTTATCAACAAATTGGCAATCTTCTATATGGTCTAGTTTTTGTTGTGCAAAATTTTAAAGAATTTCATTTTCTTTAATTTAGATTGCAAAACTATTATGCAAAATCTATTAAATAAATTTTAATGAAATTTGGTCGCCGTTATTATATGATGAAAGATTTTTTTAGGCAAATTATGAAGATCCTAAGTGCAATTTAAGTGGTTAAAAAACATTGAATAAAAAAGGCTTGTCTGTCCATTCTTTTTTGTATTTATTGCTATTTTGCACAGTAGCGCACCTAGAATTTTCCTGGTGGGGGGTTGGGTGGGCACCGAATTTTTTTTTATGCTACCTATATTTTGAGTCCTTAAAATTTGGGTTTTATTTTAATTTAAAGTACTAAAGACAGCAGTCCCAAAGATTAAGGTATCTTTTATCCTGCCTACCAACTAAAACCACCCTCTTCTGCTTTTGCACGGTTGACTGTCGCACGTACCGTACTCCGAAAGTGGGATGGCCACTGTAAGGCTGACGACATTTTTGGAACACTCTTATCCCTTCTCTTATCTAGATCTTATCTCTGTCGTTGGTCCGATTGGTGTTTCTCTTCTTTTTCTTTCTTCTTAATTGCTGTTCAAATGTAATTGTGAACACTATTCCATTCCTCCTTACTTCTCGAAATCTTTACGACCATCTCTCTCACAGTCGTTCATACATATTTCTCTATACATTCTGTTTCTCTCCACTGTACATCTATTACTGTTCAATCACAAATTAACCCCTTAATTTGTAATCTCACATTATTCTTAACTTCTTAATCTTTTATAGTTTCACCGTGTATAAGTTTGCATTATATATATTGCAAAACCATATCGTATGATAATTTAATAATTAGTTCATTTACCTACAACTAAATAAATTGCCGAATAATAATATTTTCTAATCGAACTTCCTAAGTGTCGCAATTAAGGCGTAGATTAAATTGTATTATAAGCAAAAGTTAGGTGGTGTGATATGAACGAAGCAATGACCTAAGGTGCTTATGTATCTATTATGTGTGAGATTATAAATTGGGGATTTGAGTTCAAATGAACACAGTCAATATTGAGTAGTTACCGAACGAACACCATATTGTGTAATTACGAGTTGCTGTCAATAAATCATCACTTTTACTCCACAACTTCAACATTTATTAACCCTATCATCATCGATCGACGAGAAGCGGACAAAGGGGCATTTACGAACCGAAACGAACTTCACTACTACGTTCGATATTTTTCCAATTATACTTTAGCATTATATGAGTCATCATCATCAGCCGTTTTGAGTCTACTGCTGGACATAGGCCTCCCGTAGATAATTCCAATGCATTCTACCTTGAGCACCCTGAATCCAGTTGTGCTGAATGTGCTTGATGTCATCTGACCACATTGTTGGAGGTCGTCCTCGATTACGATAAGTATCGTGCCTAGGTCTCCATTCCAGAATTTTCTTCGTCCATCTTCCATCTTTTAATGTTACAACATGCCCCGCTCAGTTCCATTTCAATGTTCTAATCCTTTGAACTGCGTCAGCAACACCAGTTTTTCTCAACTATTGTATTTGATACTCTTGTCTCTGAGAGATATATTCAGCATTGACCACTCGATCGCTCTCTGTGCCACTTGTATTTTATTGATTATTTTTCTGATAAGCGTCAATGTTTCTGCTCCATACGTTAGAACTGGGAGTACACATTGATCAAAGACCTTCCTTTTCAAACACATGGGAATATCTGATCTAAAGACTTCTCTCAGTTTTCCGTAAGTCGCCCATGCCAGTCCTATTCTCCTGTTTAGCTCCGTTGTTTGATTATCTCTTCCTAATTTAATCTCGTTGCCCAGATATTTATAGCTATACACCTGTTCAATTTGCGTACCGTTAGTTGAGATGTTCTTCGCCAGTACAAGGTTGGTCATCTATTGTGTTTTGGAAAAGTTCATTTTAAGTCCAACTCGTGTACACGATCTCTGAAGGTCTAGAAGAAGCTGGCATGCAGAAACTCTCCATTTATGTTGACTCCAATATTCTCCCAATTATTGTTTCTCATAGAACTCTGCAACAAAGCGGTGAATAGCTTAGGAGAGATGGTATCTCCTTGCCTAACACCCCTCTCGAAGGGAAATGTATTTGTGTTGCCATAATACATTCTAACTGCAGCTGTTGCGCTATTATATATATTCTGAAGAAGAGTTGTGTACCTGTGATCAATACTGCACTCTGAAAGAGCTCTTAACATGGAGCTATGCTGGACTAAGTCAAACGCTTTCTCAAAGTCTACAAATATTAATATCAATGGCTTGTTGTATTCTGTAACTTTCTCTATTAAGGATTTTATCCGGCCACTCCTAAATCCGGCCTGCTCTAATGGTTGGTGAAAATCCAGCTTAGGTTCCAGTCTGTTACTAATTATTCTCATAAAGAGCTTATATAAATGAGATAACAAGCTGATAGGTCTGTAGTTTCCAATTTCTGTTACATCTCCTTTTTTGTGCAATATTATCATAATGGCACTATTCCATTTTTCTGGTGTAACTCCTTCAAAGAGGCAGGAATTATAAAGGGTTTTTAAAAAAAAATTTTGTTAAAATCCTTTATAGTTTTTTAGTATAGGTTTTTAAAGTTTTTATGACGCATTCCCCTCCTAATTTTAGCATTTCACTTACAATGCCATCTTCTCCAGGTGATTTGCTGTTCTTCATACCTTTCAACGCTGATCCGATTTCCTCTTCGGTTATATCTGGCAGTTCCTTTGATCCTTGATTTTGTATGGCTGGGATTTTCACCTCTGGAATGTGAGCACCTTGACGATATAGTGTTCTATAGTACTCTTCGATAATTTCCATAATTTCTTGTTGTTCATATACTATCTGTCTTTAAGCTTAGAAATGTTCCTGGTTCCTTTCTTCAACTTTCGCTTTAGAACTTTAAGGCTTTTATTTTGTTCTATGATATTAGTTGTTTCTTTAGTGTTAAAATCCCTTATGTCTTTACTAACAGCTTTTGAAATGGTTTTATTTAAATTACTTAGCTCTGCGA